CCTCATTATTCTGCACAAAATTTAACTGACACAAATGTGTTTGGAGCATTTTTAGGTCCTGTTTTTATTCAAAAAATCATGTCTAAGCATCAGTTTTGTTTTCTAAATAAAAAGAATAAAAACTAATTAACTCAAGTAATTTATTTTATCAATATGCAATAGAAATGTATATTAAATTTAAGATTAATTACGATTAATTCACAGCTACATTGGGATTAATCAGATTAAAAATATTAATCATTTGACAGCCCCTTTTATTTATATATATATCATGTACACAAGAAGGCTGTGATGGTCATGCCATCCTCCAGCGACCTGCATATCAAGAGTATATTTACAAGACTCAAAAACATTTTCATTCACAACTTGTTGTGACAAAAACTTGATTGGCAGCCAAGATTCATGTTTTACAAGTCTGAGCCAAAAGGCATCAAAATACTCCGACTGACTGTGGAGATGCTAATAAATCAAAGTCTGAGATTTACACTGCAGACAGAGGAGAAATGTACACAACAAGCAATGAGCCTGAAAGCTGACAAAACGCTGACAAGGATCCAGAGCATTGTTCTGAAACTTGCAGAGGGGTAAACATGTACAGGTAAACAATGACTCTAAATACTGTACGTGTTGAACAGAGGTGAGAAATTCAAAGGTGATTAATAAACACATGGGTGTGTTTTTACATCTGATTTAAAATGATGACATTATCTGAGTTTTCTCGTCTGATATAGTAAGAATTTCAGGTAAATTCTGTCCAACTTTACTTTCAGCCTGGATGTTAATAATGGCCAGCCTCTCTCTCAGACTAGTCTTCAAACACAGATCCAAACATCAATGGATGGACTGGTCACACATGCATGCCTTTTACCTGGATTCTGACCTACTGGGTCCAGACCTTTGGCATTTACACACTCCACTTCAAACCCCAGCGCGCACAGTCTCGCACACAAACAAGATCAAACAGAGAGCGAGCAGGTCGGAGATGCTCAGAGGGTAGAGAAGGGATTCGAACTCCCTCAGAGAGGCAGCAAACAGGAGGCAAGGAGGAGGAGGAGGAGGGAGGAGTAGTTACCCTCTGAGGAGTTTGAAAAGCATGCAGCCTAAAGAGAACCAGTCTGCGCTGCTGTCGTACGCCGTCCCCTTCTGAAGGACCTCTGGAGCCATGTAGCCGTGGGTGCCGCTGTTGGAGACACAAAACAGCTTCAGTCCAACACACACCGAACATGGAGGCACATCATCGCAAAGACATGCCGACAGGAGGAGGTTGAAACAAGGGTTTCTTCTTTGACACATCAGCTGCAGGAAACCAGTGTCAGCCACTTCCTGTCTGTGACCATCTATAAACCAGGGCTTCTTAATCTTTTTGACCTCGAGGCCCAATTTGTTCAAAATAAAGTGACACGAGGTCCAGTCACACATTACCATAAAGATCAAAAAATTTTCTAAATCTTGGTTTAATTTATATTGTATTTGCATTATAACTAAATGACAAACATTGGTTTATATTGTAGCCTGCCCATAACAATTATTTGAACAAATACAAAGGTCAGTCAACAGACCACTCAGGCTTATCAACACAAAAACATTTTTAACATAAACAACAACAAAAATAGGCAATTCAATAAATAAAATTGTGATCATAAAATAAATACATTCAAACTTATTTAATGTTCCAAATAAAAAAAACCTGTAAAAATAAATTTGATAAAGTGCAAATGAAAATAAAGCCTTTTTAAACTTTTGCATGGTAGAACAAGAAGCTGCTTTTCATATTAGTGACAAATAACAGTAACAACAGCTTTTTGACAAAATGTTTAAAAATAAACTACAAAAATTAATTTGATAAAGTGCAAATTGTATCTGCAACTGTATTTGATAAAGTTCTGAACTTTTAAAATATTGCATGGTAAAACCAGAGGCTGCACTTCATATTTGTGACAAACTTTGGCATTTTTTGATGGGTTGCCTTCATTTTTGCTTCTACTTTTCATTTAAAATAGGTTTCCATTCTCAGCAGGTTTCTAAGGTTCTTCTTCAACGTATTAAAAAAATTGTTAAACATCTGAGTGGTGCACTACTGCTGCTAGTGGTGAGGAAGTGTATTGCACCTTATTCAAAATCAATGTGGTCCCACGGCCCTCTGTGGCACAAAGTTAAAAACTGTTGTTCTTTTGAGGCCTTCAAGGTGGCGCTGGGCCGCGGCCCATGGGTTAAGAATCTTTACTATAAACCAGGGGTGCCCAAACATTTTCCCTGAGAGGGCCAAAATTAAAATCAATATGAGGGCTGCGGGCCAAATGCAATAATTTTAAAAAATGCAAATACTTAAGTAAAGTTGTTTTATTTTTTTATGATTAAGCTAGCAGCCAGTGTGGTTGCCCACATTCTTTTTTTTTCAGCCCATGGAGAAAATTCAAAGTATGCTCAGGCAGCAAAGGCTCATGGGAGTATATGTGGTTTTATAAGTTGTACAAATCTATATATGTATTGGCTTAAATCTAATCTAAATGTCTCTTGTGGTGACTTGTATTTTATCTTTAATCTTAACATAATTACAATCTAGTAACCAGGACAACTACTGGTGGGCCAAATGAAATGGCTCGGCAGGCCAATTTTGGCCCGCAGGCCCCACTTTGAGCAGCTCTGCTATAAACCATCTCTGCTTGATGTGGATTAGTCTGCTTTTCTTTAAAAAAGGTTTTCCCTCTGTACACAACAAATCAGTTCAGATTTCAACACCTTCCTAAAATATTTCTCTTTTTTTGTTTCAAGTTTTTCCAGGAAGTTTTTCAGGAGACACAAAAAATATAAATAAATAATAATAATAAAAAAAAACTAAAAAAGTGTACCGTATTATTTGTTTAGAGAAAATAAATGGCTTAGGCGATCGTCTTAGGAAGGTGTCGATTTAAAAGTCTAAATAGATTTTACTTGGCAGAGATCTGACGTCATAAACCAGTTGATACTAATGAAAGTATTTAAATTTACTACAAAATATGGACATTTAAAAGTTTATGTTTCAAACACAAACATCAGTGAAGAACAATTACATGATCACACCAGGACACGAGAAGAGCTGTGAAATAAGTATTCAGAAAATATTCAAATCCCTTCACGTTGTGCCAGTTTGTTGCCACCTGACTTGACAGCGATCTAATTTCCCCCTCTTATGTTTGAGGAGGAAAACACCTGCAAACACGCTGACATTTAATCAGTGACGACCTCTTCTCATTAGTTGTTGGAACACTAAAATAACAGACCACCAGATGAAAAGCTCGGCCCCCTCGTCTTTGCGCATGGGTTTTAAGGCAGAAGAGCACTTACACGCTGGCATGGGGCTTCTTTTTGGAGAAATCGCAGGCCAGGCCGAGGTCGGAGATCCGAACGTGGCCGTGCTCATCCAACAGAATATTAGCAGGCTGGAGGAAGAGACACACAAGAGCACAGGAGGGAAGTGAGAAAAGCTGACACCGCTGTGGAATAGGAAACATTTGTAATTCACTACTCAAATTAACCCAAAGTTTGTGCAGACACAGATATTAAAAGGAGGCCTCCTGTCCTGGTTATCCTCCGTGACTCACTTGCTTTCTTCTTCCTCCTACACTCAGCCTCGAAGTATCATTTGCATCGCGCTCGGCTTTTTACCGAAGCCCTAAAACGGTTCCCTGACCTCCTGCTAAATAAATCTATTATTATGGCAACCAGTCCAAACAGGGAAAATGGAAGAAAACCAGAAACACACAGCTGATGATGTGTAGAGGTCAAAAGTGGAGGTTAATGTTCAGAGTGAAGTCGGTCTAATGGCATTCCTCTTCATTTCCCAGTTCCTACAAGTCTCTATGTAATAAATCTGAATGTTGGATGCTTGAATCAAATCAGTATCAAATTAAATGCACATGTTGTGAAACTCTTTCATAACAGTCGGAGTTAAAAACTCTAACTGTAAACCTGGATTCAGTCAAAAGGGGGGCCCCAGGAAAGGAGAAAAATCTAGTTTTGGTAAACCTCTAACCTCATTTAAATGTTCACATTTTACACTTTGTATAGCTTGTAACTCGTTATGAATATTACAAATCTTTATCTTAGAATACTGTACATAAAACACACAAATGGAAAACTGTGAAGAATAATGGAAACATTTAACAAATTTCCAAAAATCAAGATAAATACATCATGAGGAGTCTGAAACGGGCTGAAGGAAAGATTATGAACGCCTTCCTTTCTAATTAGATAAAATATGTAGGGAATAAAAGTGATAACGTTTCATCTGAATGTGCCACAAGACTTTTAGAAGAAAGTCTTTGAAAAGATGAAACCAAAGCAGATCCCAGCTGTCAGCAGGGTGGTGGAGGGCTGATGGTTTGGACTTAGTTTTGCAGCCACAGAACCTGGACACATTTACTGTTACTGGCTGTGTCTCAATTCAGGGGCTGTGTCCTTCGAAGTCTGCATTTGTCGGCCGCTTCCGCCACTTCCCCGCATCGAAGGCCGTCCCAAATAATGGGTTACGTCTCACGCGGCTGACAAATACCGCCATCAAAACCCCAAAAAGGAAGGCTGCATCCAAGGCTGAGGATATCCCAGGATTCATTGTGACATCAGCAAACTAAACAGAAAAATTAAGACGGTGGAGGTTTTTTTTTTCTTGTTACGTTGGCAAAGTTTGAAAATTCATTACAGACCAAAGAACTTGTTTTTAAATGTATATTTATCAACTTATCAGATTCAATTAGCTGATAAAGTGTTTGCTGCGATGGTCAGGGTTAGTACTGATACTGGAGCCACACCCAAATTATTTTTGTTTTTTATTTATTTACGTGTCACTATTTTAATAGCGAAGTAATTCCATACAGCCGTTTTACGCAGAAAACACGGGACTGCGCAGGGTGTTGTCTAGGTAGGCTGCTGCCCCTGAATTGAGACACACTTGCTGTGTTGACAACAAAAGTCCAGCACAGACCAAAGTATTCTACGGACAAGTCATGTGAGGCCAGCTGGAGATCAATACAAACTGGGTCATGATGCAACAGAACGATGATCCCAAACACAGCAGCTGATCTACAACTGAACGGCTCAAAAGGTGTTTAAACCGTCCAGAGTCCAGAACCTGGCTGTAATCCTGTGGCGGGAACTTAAAAAAAACTGTGCAGAGACAAAAGTTTACAAACCTTCATGAACTGAAGCAACGTTGTAAAAAATAGAAAAAAAAAAAAAAAAAAAGAATTGGCTAAAGTTCCTCCACAATCATGTAAAAACAAAAGTTCTATATAAAACAAGACTGATAACAAAATACACCATCTCCAGAACCACAGGCTGGACTTTATTGAAACTTAGTGTATTTACGTCTACAAATTATTCATTTTTGGACTCAGTCAATTCAAGATGGCTGCCAAAGTCAACCTATAAATATGGCTGACTTTTTAAAACACTTTACCAGATATTAAGCTATGATTTGATGTTTAAGTAGCTGCAGCAACTACCAGGTCATATTAGATGTTCCTAAATCCGTTGAGAGGTTTTATTAGAAACATTACAGTAATTATGCACCATTAGGTCCTCCTCAAAGCTCAGAGACAGCTGTCTTTGCAGAGTGAGTTGAGTATGAGTTGTTTTGGTGTGGATGCATTAGCAGAATTGATGATTTGTGAAAAATAAAGGACTGAAAGGTTGAATTTTTCCCTGTACAAAGTAGCCTCACCATTGTGAACAGTGGGGATATAGATTACAGTATAAAATTGTGATGTAGCTCTTAAATATAAGCACGGCCGAATATTGTAGCTGTGTGGAGAAACCTTGAGTAGGTTTTATGAGCACTATTCCAGGTATAAAAACAAAATTACCTTTAATAAAGGCACAGTAGCCTAAGCAGTTAAAGCAATAAAAGCCTGGAGCTCCATGAGGAAACGCAGTAATTATCTCTAAAAGATCAGCCTTATTTCAAAGGAATCCCAAGAAAACCATCAGCGAGTCTCAAACCAGCGCTTCTTTCTGAAGACGGCACACTCGTGGTTTCATCTTTACGAAAGGTTTCAGCTTAAAACAGGAGGAGATAATGCCCTCGTTAAGAAATACTTTAGGATTCATCTTTGTTTGGTGTTGAAGTGGGGATCAGAAGTTCATTCAATAACAGCGTGCTCTGTTGGTCATAATGAACCCCGAGTGAAATGTCAACAACTCTGCAGCTTTATGAAGCATTTCAGCTTCTGCTGCACCATCTGACTTATGAATCTGCCTAGAATAGCTTTATAACATATTAATATTTTACAAAACCTGGTTGTGCTGTTCATAACGTGCTCAGAAAACTCATTTCAATTAAAGGCCTGGCATTCCTTGAAGGAAAGCCCACTATGACTGTTTCAGACTAAAACTGTTTTATGATGTAAAGGTGTTAATGTTATTTCATGTGAATATTGTTATTTATTGATCTTTTTTAAACTGACATTGTATTAAGATAATATGTACGATACTAGGGCTGTGTATTAGGGTTGGGCAATATTGGCAAAACAATTAATCAAGATTAATTGTGGTATTTAGCCGATAACGATTAATTTGACGATTAATCCCCTGGAGTCCCTAGATACCCTTATTTCATAGAGATGACCAATTTAGTGGGAAAGATTTGGTCTTTGTAAAAAAAAAATTCAAAATTGTGTGAAAATTACAGATTTCAGGATATACATCATATTTTAAATTGTGTTGATGGATAAATACATTACAGAACTTTATTTTTAATGTTCGTCCTATTTGAAGCAGAGAGGAGCAACAAGCAGATTGACCAGAGTAATCCCCAGTCAGTCTGCCTGGTGGTATTAATCATATTAATCGTAAAGTGCCAAAAAATAATCGATTAATGTTTTTCTGACGATTAATTGCACATGATACGATTATGCCCAACCCTACTGTGTATTGGCAAGAATTTGGCGATACGATACATATCATGACAGAGGGGTCACGATACGATAAATCCCGATATATTTCCATACTGTAAACAAGGCGATATATTGCGATATTTTTGGTCCAAAAATTCTATTAAATAAAAACCTCTTACTGGGAAAAAAAAACAAAAAACGAAAAACCAAAATCCATTGTCTCAGAAAATTCTAATATTACATAGACATACTTTTGATACATTTAGCTGTGTTCTGCTTTGTATGTGTTTTATTTTATTTGTTTCATATTTCATCCATGTTTTCAATTATTAGACTAAATTTGCCAATAAATAGTTTGAAAATATATTTTTTGCAGCTTTTAGTTTTTAATATTAATTTACAATATGGTCACCCAACACTTAACAATAGCGTTTATGTTGTCATAAAGTTCAGTAAACAGATGATATGAAGCTGCTGCACAGAGTTTCTGGGGTCAGCTGACCTGCATCCAGAACCTGATTTACAGGACTGTGGGTCGAACAGCAGGGCAGGTCCCGAAGAAAACCAGTTAAGAAATTGAGAAGCTAAAGGAGTTAAACCGTTTTTGAAGCGAACACAGCAGGATAAAGTATATGGACTTTGATGCGATGAGCCAGATATTGAGAGCAACAGACAGAGTTTTATGTCACGGGGGGAGTGCCGAGCTCGCTCGAGGCGATAGACGCATGCGCTATATGTGCAACGTGAAACCTGACTACAGTTGTAAAAAAGAGCGCACAAGACACTTAATTTGTCTTAAAATACAGACATTCTGACAAATAAGTAACTGTTTGTAACCTTACCTCAGCTTAGAAGGCAGAGGGTGTCGGTCTTTTCCGCTCAGATTCAGCAATCGAAGCATGAAGCTAATGTTTACTTACAATGCTAATGCTCTCTTACTCTCTGGCACTCAAGCTGTGGAGGAGCCACAGCTACCACCAGCTACTACCGGCTGGCTCACTGCTACCAACTAGTGGTCAGAGGCTGAACAACAACACAAAAATGAACGGCTGGCAGGAAAGTTGACATTTTAAACCTTAATAAAAAAAATCGATACAGGGCTTTAGAATATCGATACAGTATCGGGAAATGAAATATCAAGATATTTTAGTGTATCGATATTTTCTTACACCCCTATACGATACAGGGGTCAACATAAGCGTTGTTTAGGTTGCCCAAGACAACATATTTTCATTTTGGACGAGCAGATCCTGCCTCAAACCAGATTAAAGTTCTCCACCGTGACAAATGTCTGTCATTTGTAAAGATGAAAGGAAGAAAAAACTTGTTAAAGCCGTCTAGGGATTAACTAGTGGCTCTTTTACCCAATAAGGTGAAGTGCGGTCAAAGTTTTACCCAATCAGAGCAGAGCAGGAAGGGTCGTGCTGTCTGACTGACAGCAGGTGCACAACGGCAGCCCTCAGAGGGAAGGTGAACACTCTCAGCTTTTTCTGGGCTATTTTTCACAGAGCATTACAAATTTTATATACATTATAGCTTTGGTTATTCAACAATATTAAGGCTGCAATAATACTATAAACGAAATATTTGTATACCTAAAATTATAACAAAGATGTGTCTCTGTTTGATTTTCTTCTAAAATCACAGAGCTTCTCTGAGTCAGCTTCAGGTGGGTGTAGTTTTTCATAAATATCTGCTAAATTTAATTCTACCAGGAGTTTTAACAACAAGATGTTTTAGCTGCTTTGTGCTAAACTTATTTACAACCATCTTGAGAGGTAACTGTGATAAATGTAATTCAGTAAAGATGAAAAATAAAAAGTATTAAATGACCACATGAGCTGAAATCCTGTAAATATAATCTATCCAAATCAAACACTCATTTTAGGGGCGAAATCTGTCAGTTTAGTAAAAAAAACAAACAAAAAAAAAACAATAAAAATAAAGTTATTCGGAGCAAAGAACTTCTTGTGTTATAATTTTTAAAATAAAAATATTAGAGCTCCTCAGCTGAAAACACTAAAATGACAGAAAAGCTGCTTAAAACCTCTCTCTTTCTTCATAAAGTATTCAGTCTTAAAACTTTAAATGTTGCAGATTAAAGTTTTAAGTCAAGGCTTCATTAGAGAACACTAAACTAACTTTTAATAAGGTCATATACAGAATATACTGTATAAGCCAAAACTGTTGACCTGCACGCAGGAAAAAGCTTATGAATTTTGAGTAACCTATGTGAAGAAAACATTTAGTAACAATATTTCTGAGTGTCTCTATTTCAACGAAGAGGATGAGGAAGTTCTACTCCAGCAGCTCCTGAAACTGCTGGTTGAAAACATTTGTATAGTAAACTTTGTCTACACAACAATATCCTTATTAAATAACATTTTTCTTGACATTTTTTGCCGAGTATTGAAAAGGACAAACAAAATCTTTAGCGGACAACCAGATGTTGTCAAAAGATTGTCGCTGGACAACCTGAGAAAAAAAAAAAGAATAAATAAAATCGTTCTGTCTACCCCTGCAGTATTACCAGGGCAGGATGAAAAGGGGCATTGGGGGTGGGGTGTTATGGTCTGTGGCGTGTTGAGGAAGTAATAATTAACAGAGAAACAGCTGTTTGCTTGAATGAAATGCACATCAGGTGACATTCTAGAGCCAGAGGTGTAAAGTTGTTAATGGACAAATGTGAATATTTGGACATGACACACACAATGATCTGAAATGCAACATCCACTGCTCTTTTATGGCTTCACAGGAGTCTTTCTCAGAAGACAACCCATAACGTTACTGCTGCCACTCCTGCTTCTCTCAGCAGCAGATTTAGTGACACCGACACCACACCTCCCTCGATCTCGTACAGATTAATGTTCTCTGAAAGCGTGTTTGAGCGCCGTAACAGAACGTAACTGTTGGTGACCTCTTAAATGCCAGAGGGAGCATTAATGTGTTACGGGCTGTTTGGTCTGTCTTCTAAAAAGCCTGTATGTCCCAGATTTTATAGCAGCTTTATGGAAATTTAGTGCATCACCCCACTTGATTAACCGTCTTAATTTTTTTAAGGGATCCCTGATTAGCTGTAACCTTAGACTTTATTTGATAAACATATATTTTAACTGTAAAATAAAGACTAAAAATACTGTAGGATGTTTAGTTTTTATAATTTTTAAAAATATGTTTTAACACGGACGGAGCCAATTTATTTACACGCAAAGCATTCTGGGTAAATGATAATGTGGATAGGTCCTCGGTGTGAGCGAGCTATATCCACCCTGAAGGTTAATCTTTGACAATATCTGATGATCGACTCTTTTAAATGAAACCAGAGAGCGTTGACAGAGAGGAGAAGGTAGAAATGACTCAGCCTGTAACTGAAAATATGGATGGAGGACAACAGTTTAACTTGTTAGCTTTTCACGCTAGCGTTGGTGCTAATGCTAAAGCTAACAAGCTAAGCTGAGGTTGTTCTTCCATGAAGCAGCTCTGTTGTCCTCCATCCATATTTTCAGTTGCAGGCTGAGTCATTTCTACCTTCTCCTCTCTGTCAACACTCTCAGGTTTCATTTAAAAGAGTCGATCATCAGATTTTGTCAAAGATTAACCTTCAGGGTGGATATAGC